GCAGAGGACCTAGCTAAGCCATGCCAGACACCTGACCCATGGACAATGTGTGCTGTTTTAAGTCACTAGGTGGTAGTAATTTGTTATGTAGCAATTGAATGATAATGAAATGATTAAATAACTAGATATCTCTATTGGTTAGCTATAAAATTCTATATAACAAACAAGTCACTGGGCTGTGATGGTTAATTTTAAGCATCAACTTGCCTAGATTAGGGGATACCCATATTGCTGATAAAATATTATTTTTGAGTATAGAAATACTATAATATCTCAAGAATGGGAAAAAATATCCATTCTATTCAATACTAATAGGAAATCAACACTATTAGTTTCAATACTAATAGGAGACACTCTCATCTGTCAGGGTGTTTCTGCAACAGACCAAGTAAGGAAGGTCTGCTCTCACCCAATTAGGGAAGACACCATCCAATTGACAGAGGGACCAGAAAGAACAAAAAGGAAGAGAAAAGGCAACTTTACTCTCTCTCTCTCTCTCCCAGAGCTTGGACACCCATCTTCTCCTGCCCCTGGATGTCAAAACTCCTGGCTATCCAGCCTTTGGACTCTGAGACTCGCCCCAGAAGCCTCCCAGGTTCTCAGACCTTCAGCCACACTACAGTAATCCCTGGGTCAGCTTGCAGATGGCCTATTAAGAAATTTCTCAGCCTCCCTAATTGTGACGACAGCAGGAACAGGCTATTAAAAGAAAAATTAAGAGCACTGGTAAAATTAAGAAGTAGAAAAAATAGAACCAATTACCCTAATATACATTCTCTCTCTCTCTCTCCTCTGTTATCTATCTGTCCTCTATCACTTATCTATGATCTATCTTCTATTAAATTATCCTCTATCTACCCTCTATCATCTACCTACCTATCTATATTATCTATCTATTTTCTACCATCTGTTATCTATCCTTTATCTATTAATTATCATCTATCCTCTATCATCTATTATCTATCTATCTCTGTTATCTATCTGTCCTCTATCACCTATCTATTATCTATATATCTATCCTCTATTGATTATCCTCTATCTATCATCTATTTGTCTGTCTACCTATCTATCTATCTATCTATCTGTCTATCATCACCTATTGGTTAATTTTCTCTGGAGAAACTTGCTAATACAGTTTAAGCAACAAAAACGCATTTTTCTCATTTCTGTGGGTCAGCTGGACTCTTTTTACTTTGGCTATGACTTGCAATCTGGGGGATTTTGGCCATTTGCCTCTCACTGCCATTGGACCCGAGGGCTGCATGTTCCTCTGGGCATGTTCTTCCTATGAGAACAGTAGGAGTCTAAGATGGAAAACCCAGCACAAGCACATCTTAAACTTCTGCTCACATTTCATCAGCCAGCATACAGCTGGCCAAAGCAAGTTGTACAGATTTTCCCAATAGCACAGAGAAATCTACTTTGGCTCTTGTGTCAGAAGCTGTAAGATCTCATCGCAAAACTTGTGTGTACAGGGAGGGCTGAAGAAATGGAGCAATGATGCCTTCTATCTTAATATCTGGATGGTATTTAGTAGAATCCAACACTACTGATTATAGGTAGAAAAAAAACAAAAGGGGTATCCTAACCAGGCAAAGCTTATCTATCTTCATTTAAAATGTAACATTCATTTGGCAGGTAGAATCCTGGAGAAGACATTCTGAATCAGGTTCCATGGACTTTGGTGGTCAGTGGAAACTTGTATCTGGGGGGCTGGGAGAGCCTTGAAGGCTGGGAGTCTGGGTGTGGATGCACACTTGCTTTCATCTGGAGAATAGAATTAGTATCTTTCATCAGATTTTCAAAAGGCCCATGACCTTCCCTGCACTAAAGAAAAATTCGGTAATTAAAAATCACTGCACGAAAGGCTCGTTCATTAAAATCAGAAACAATATCACTAATATTACCCAGTAAAAATAATACATAAGAGAAAATAATAGGAGAGGCTACGAGAATAGAAATGACACTATCAGTATACGTTGATAATATAATTGTTCCACTAATAAAACTTGAGTTCCTTCATTTTAAGATGCTGAAGTCATAAAACATCAGAATTCATTTACATAGTACCGTCAGCACATGCAGTGTCTCTGTGGTTTTCTTAAAGTGTTTAAAATATTGGTCAATATAAAGTTTGTTGTTATCTTAGTATTATGAAAACACAGTTTGAAAATGATTAAGATTTAGAAAACTGGCTAGTTACAAAATCAAAATACAAAAATCATTAGCTGTCCTGTATGCCAAAATAAGCAAATAGAAACTCATTCTACTTTAGTAGCATTAAATATACAGAATATTTAAATATTTTTGCACTCATAAAATATATACTGTTAAACATACAGAATACTGTATGTTTAATGCTACTAAAATAAGTATTCTGTATATTTAATGCTACTAAAAGTAGAATATACAGTATTCTGTATATTTAATGCTGTATTTAAATTTATAGTATTCTGTATATTTAATGCTACTAAAAGTAGAATTAGTTTCTATTTGGTTAGGAAGAATTCTACTTTTAGTAGCATTAAAATATACAGTATTGCTAGGATAACTGTCATGAACCTCTGTTTTATATAAGAAAATTTTAATGATTCAAAGCCATAAAAGAGTCTTTGAAATGATCAAATATCCAAAGTTCATATTAAAAAGTATATTAACTATTGGATAGTTTAAACTTGTCAATTGTTCTTATATTTATTATAGGGCTAAAGAAGATCCAACCAAAATTTCAGCAGAGGTTTTATAAATAAATTATTCATTTAATTATATGAGTGATGCATGAGAACTTGAAGCATTAATTCTAATGTCAATATGGAATGAAAAAAAATTAGTCTGGAACATTTTAAAAACAATGAGAAATGAAGAAGAATTTTCCCAATCAGATATTAAAAGAAAAATCAAGAGCACTCATAAAACTCAAAAGTAGAATGAACATACTAGATAATCCAGAAACTGAACCTAGGATATATTCCATTTTATATGCAATATGTCATATTTTGTTGACTCTAAGACAGGATTGATTCTATGACACATTATTATCCTGAGTACCAATAACAGAAGAAAACTCCCAACACGGAGTCTTAAGGGAGAACTACTAGGACATGACAAGCTATATCCTCAGTATAAAGAGCCACAAGGAAGAAATACACCGTCCAGAAAGAGGGAAAGAGATGCACGTGAGCCTTAAGCTCCACTGGTGGAGGAAAGGAACTATGTCTCCCCCGAGAACTGGAATCACAGCCAATATCTACACTCGCAGTGTTACAGTCTGCAGTGAAGTCCAGAGCTTTGGGCTGTAAGTCTTGGGTCCACAGTGCCCCTAGGTTGTATAGAGGCAAATGTAAATCTTCTCTGGATGCCCCAGCCTTCAAGCCAAGCCAACAAGACCTTCAGATACTGGAGACTGAACAAGGTGGTACAGACTTCAGAGATGCTAGCACAGGAAAAGGGTCTATTTTAGAAGCAGAGGACTGTGGTAATGGACAACCCATACCTGCGGACAAAAGGTGAAGACTAACTTGGTGAACAGGAGTGGAAACGTAGCTTAGCAACTTGGGAAATTAAATAACACCACCCAGACCAATGATAAAATTAAAAACCTGAATCCTTATAAGAATTAGAAGAAAACACAAATCCAAGAGTGGGAACTACCACTCTAGCCATGGAATATAAAAGGCAATGGATAAGGGGCAGTGCCTGTGGCTCAAGAAGTAGGACATGGGCCCCATATACCAAGTGTGGCAGGGTCAAGCCTGACTCCGGCCAAAAACTGCAAAAAAAAAAAAAAAGCAATGAATAAGTATTGATGTATTGGATTAAAACAAAATGTAAAATTTCTATATGTCAAAAGTGACTTTGAATAAATTAAAAGTAAAACAAAATGTAAAATTTCTGTACATTAAAAGTGACTTTGAATAAATTAAAAGCAAACAAAACTTGGAGAAAAAAAAGAAAAAAACCTAGTTGTAATTTCATGGCAAAAAGAGGATAATAACCTTGTAATGCCCAAACTGTTTGATATGAGCAGGAATCTCCTCCGTGGCAATTTTTAAACTAGTGAAAAGATTAGAAACAATTAGAAAAAGGAGGAAGGAAATTATGACTTATCTGTACTGGAAATAGTTTTTGAAGAAAATTTATTGGCACAGGAAAATTCTTTAAAAATGTTAAATGAAATAAAATAGGATCTAAATTATAACCAGTGTACACCGACGTATTTATATATCTACATATATCTCTCCTGGTATATATGAGTATATACCTGTATTTTTGTACACACACACATACACATATGCACAGAAACAGCTAAGAAGATAAACTTGTATGCTAATAGTGGGTATCTGGGCAGTGACATTACGGATGATGACAGATTCTGTATTTGCCAAGTTTTTCTCATGGAGTTAGTATGTTAGTTTTCTACTGCTGCTGAAACAAATTCTCACAAATTTGGTGGCTTAAGAAATAAAAACATATTATCTTAGCAGTCTATCAGTTGCATGGGGCTGAACTCCCATTACTAGCAGGGCAGTGTTCCTTTCTGGAGGCTCCAGGGAGGGCCTGTCTCCATGCCTTTTCTGGTGTTCAGGGCTGTGGCACTCCTTGCATGTTTTGGAACCTTCCTCAGTCTTCCAAGCCAGCAACAGAGGAGTGAGTTCTTTTCATGTCATATTTTTTTTTCCAGATTAATATGAGGGTATCAGTGTTTTCATCATTAAGGCAAAGTTCAAGTTGCAGTTGAGCCCTTCACCCAGAGGGTGCTGTATACCCTGACACTGCGCATGTTAGGTGAGATCCCGCCAATCACCCTCCTGCCCCCTTCCCTCTCCTTCCTCTCCCCTCCCTCTCACTAGACTATACTTGTGTTTTTCTTTCCTGTAGGCCTGTAGTTGTTTATACATTGGTTTTATATTAGTATTGAGTACACTGGATACTTGTTTTTCCATTCTTGTGATACCCTACTAAGAAGAACATGTTCCAACTCCATCCAGGTAAACACATGAAAAAATATGAAATGCTTCACAAATCTGGGTGTCATCCTTGCACAGAGACTATGCTAATCTTCTCTGTATTGTTCCAATTTCAGTATATGTGCTGCTGAGAACAGCACCACACCACATCTTCCTGAGCAATTCTCCATCCTTAAAATCTCTCTCCGACCCAGCCAGAAAGGTTCTTTGCTTTTCAGGACACAAGTGATTAGGTTGGGTCCTCTCAGATAATCAGGGTAATTTCCTCACTTCAAGGTCCAAAAATTTAACCACATTTTCAGTCTCCTTTGCCATGTAAGGAGACTGGGGACTAGGCCTGGACATCTTTGGAGGGTGGGGAGACATTATCATGCTTACCACAGTTAGTATTATTTTAATATTTAAAACACACATGTACTTTATGTAAGAGAAAGAAAAGAGGCATTTATTGTCTTTATCATCATTACCAACATCCACATTTTTATCACAGTCACGAATCAAGGTTTTGGAAATACAGCTTCCTTTAGATCAGTGGTTCTCAACCTTCCTAATGCCATGGCCCTGTGGATCGAGACCCACAGGTTGAGAACCGCTGCTTTAGATCAAGGGTCTACAATCTAGAGCCCACAAGCTAACTCCAGCCTACTGCATCATCTTTTATTTATCTATTTATTTACTTTTCCTTTTTGAGGTAGAGTCTCACTCTTTCACCCTGGGTAGAGTGCCCTGGCGTCATTACAGAGGACAGCCACCTTAAACTCTTGGGCTCAAGAGATCCTCTTGCCTCAGCCTTCCCAATAGCTAGGACTACAGGTGCCCATCACCATGCCTGGCTAGTTTTTCTATTTTTAGTAGAGACGGGCTCTCACTCCTGCTCAGGGCTGGTCTCGAACTCCTGAGCTCAGGCTATCCACCTGACTCAGCCTCCCCAGGCCCCACCTGTTCTTGTAAACATTTTCTCAGAATATAACTAATCCCATTTGTTTACGTATTATCTATTTTTGTATCTTGTGCTCAGCAGCAGACCTGAGTCATTGCAAGGCTGACCCCTGGAGCCATAAAGCCCAGCGTGTGCTATCTGACCCTTTATCAGAAGAAGTTTACTCACTCTTGCTTTAAATGATCACTTCTTAATCTCACATGAAAACTAAAAATAGGCTTAGAAGAGATATCTTTTTATTGGAGTAATGGCAGGGTCTCCAGGCAATCATGCCCATCCTACCTTTCAGACAGAAGGCACTCAGACCCAGAGAAGGTTCCCAAGGCCACATGCTGAGCCTGGAGAAAGCTGCTGGACTGAGGCTCCCTGCGTCTCAGCCACCCCTCTGGCTTCAACATCTTTTCAGCAAGTACCAATCCCCAGGAATGCACTGACCTATTCAAAGTTTTGGGGGAAAAAAAAAAAGTAACAGCAAATGCATGATGTGCCTTACCTGTGGCTGCACATAACCTCCTGTGAATGGTCCTGATGCCAGGGTTCCATGTCTTGTGGTCCAGGGAGGTTTTGTTTGATTCGCAGCCAGCACCGGTGTACCTGTGACTCCAGCTGGTGGCCATGCAGGTGGGAGAGTCTGGAGAGATACTGGGGGAGCGTTGTTTCCAAAGACTCACTCTTCCAGCCAGCCTGTGAGCTCCAGCTGTGCCAGGGCTAAGAGGGGGCCCAGTCCAAGTACAGTGACGGCACTGAGAGGAACCTCCGTCATTACCAGCCCCGCATGGCTATGTTGTCCTTTTCTGAGCGGTGGCACTGGGTCAGTGGTGCTGTCACTGAAATTAAAAAAAAAAAAAATTAAAAAAAGAAAAGAAAAATGCCCATAATTTCATTCCGGAGATTACGGCTGCAGACAGTTTGCAATCCAGCCTCATGTTGTTCCACTGTGCAGATGAACCTGAGTTTAACTCACCCCTTCCTGCTCAACATGTAGGGATATGAACCGTGTAGTGTGCTCAGATGGGCGTCCTTGCCATCAAATCACTGGGCACTCGCACCAGGAGCTGATGGGCGGGGGAGTTTTAATTCCAGGAAGATGAGCACCTTAGGCTTTTAATACACAGGGAAAAGTTCTCTGCACCTGTGCCTACCTCGCCTGCAGATCAAGTGTCCTTTAGAAATAGTGATGGCTTCCACCTGTCGGGTAGGTCCCAGAGCATTCCTGCAAACATCATTTAACTTTAACTTTACAGGGACCCTGGAAAATGGACATGGATTTTTAAAAGGGAGGAAACTGCATAAGGTACATTTGCCCAAAGTTACTCCACGGGAGAACCGAGGCCAGGAGTTGAGACTTGCACAGCAGGCAGAGAGGGCCGGCCACAGGGGTCACTTTAAGGCCTCATCGTCCTCAGACACCCCCCCACCCCCGCCATCAGACACATTAAAATGTACACACACCCTACATAATTTATTCATAACATATGTAAGAGTTCATTTGCTGTTGCTTGGCTGACAAAGAATGTGACATTGTGGATACATTTAAATATTTATTGATTTCAGTTTCGTCGGGCGTTGCAGGTTATTGGTCTGTTTGCCCTCACATCCTTCCCCCCACCCCTCCCTCCCTCCCTGCGCTGATGCCCGTAGCCCTGGCCCTCCGCCCACGTTCCTCGTCAGCTGCCTCCTTTCTGGGTTTGGCCAGTGGGACAGTTAGGGAAAGAGGAAAGAAAAATGAGGGTGTTGTCCCCGCATTTGGGTACCAGTTTTATTTCTTCTGTGTCTGCCTCCCCACTGGTGAGCCTGTGACATACCCAGACCCTGCCGTGCGGCCCTGCCCACTGGTGAGCCTGTGACATACCCAGACCCTGCCGTGCGGCCCTGCCCATTGGCGAGCCCGTGACGTGCCCCAGACGCTGCTGTGCGGCCCCGCCTGCCCACCCGTGAGCCCGTGACGTGCCCCAGACGCTGCTGTGCGGCCCCGCCTCCCCACCCGTGAGCCCGTGACGTGCCTCAGATGCTGCTGTGCTGCGGCCCTGCCCATTGGCGAGCCCGTGACGTGCCCCAGACGCTGCTGTGCGGCCCCGCCTCCCCACCCGTGAGCCCGTGACGTGCCCCAGACGCTGCTGTGCGGCCCCGCCTCCCCACGGTGAGCCCGTTGCGTGCCTCAGACCCTGCTATGCGGCCCCGCCTGCGCACTGGTGAGCCCATGACGTGCCTCAGACGCTGCTATGTGGCCCCGCCTGCCCACTGGCGAGCCTGTGACGTGCCCCAGACGCTGCTGTGCGGCTGCGCCTCCCCACTGGTGAGCCAGTGATGTGCCCCAGACGTTGCTGTGTGGCCCTGCCCACTGGTGAGCCCATGACGTGCCCCAGACATTGCCGTGTGGCCCTGCCCACTGGTGAGCCTGTGACCTGCCCCAGACGCTGCTGTGTGGCCCTGCCCACTGGTGAGCCCATGACGTGCCCCAGACATTGCCGTGTGGCCCTGCCCACTGGTGAGCCCGTGACCTGCCCCAGACGCTGCTGTGTGGCCCTGCCCACTGGTGAGCCCATGACGTGCCCCAGACGCTGCTGTG